AGCGTGGGACGACTGCACACCAGGCCCAAACGCTGGCCCTGCGTCTCTCCGTCCACTGATCCTTCCCATCAGTTCATGTGCGCTGTCGCTTGCTGTGTGACCAGCGTCACGGCGAGCTCGTGTGCCTTGTTTGAATTTAGCCTCTTCTAATCGTTATTCACATGTCCCCTGCCTCTCTCAGCTTAGAGATTAATTGTGGTGACTAGAAACTCTGGTGCAGTGCATCTCAGATCATGTGATTAGAACAAACTCTATGTGGCGTTGCAGTACTTGAAATGTTTCCCTTTGCCTTTCTGTGCTTTTATTTTATTTGAGGCAAGGTTTGCTGTGTAGTCAGGCTGGCTTTGGCTTCACTTGGAGTTTGGTTGATGTTCTTAAGTTTCTAACCTCAAATCACAGCCAACTTTTAGCTCATATTGTGCTCCACCCTGTTCTTTCTTTGGTAGTGAACTTTACCCTTCATCTGTAGAGAACGTTTTTGATAATAAGATGGAAGGGATAGCAAGTAATGGGGTCCTAACTGAGATGAGCCTAACAGCTTGAAAGAAGAGTCTAGGAAAGAAAGTAGTAAAGATATTAAATAAGAGTCTAGAGAGAAATGCAGAATATATATAAATTTTCCCAAAGTATCTATCAGTCCCAAGACATTTATTAAATGAATCATTGATATGTATTAGACACTTATTTTCTAGGAAGTTTGTGAAGCATTCATTTAATACAATAGTTCAATGAGATAGGTTTCATTATGGATTCATTTTTTACAGATAAAATGCTGGAATTTAGAAGCATGGGGTAATTTGTCCCCACTCCCAAAGCCAGTGCGTGCTGAGCAGGAATTTGATCTTATAAGGCTGGGCTCCAAGGATGGGTGGAATTAGATAAAATACTGATTGTTTGGCTACTATCAAGAGCCAACATGACTTGCCAAACTTGTACCATCTCAAGGTACAAGTTTAATAACTTGGTTTAATAACTTTCTTATGCTCATACCAAAACTAAGCAGTAGGACTAGAACTTGGCATGCATTTGTTTCCAAAGTTCAGGATCCTTCTAGCAAATATAATCATTCTTTGATGGAAAAGGAATAGACTATCTATATGGCTAAGGGAGTTATAACTGATTTAAAGATATGATCAGAATTTTGGCAACCTGTTATATAAAAGTAGTAATAAAATGAAGGTGGGGAGCAAAATGACAAAGTACAAAATTGTGACAAGAAACACAGGGAGCAGATAATAATATTTACAAGGAAGCATTTTTCTACACCCTTGACTAAAAGAGAAGGTACATGCTTTTATGGGGAAAATAAGATTTCTTTCTACTTTTAAGTAAAACTGTGATCTTTTAGGCACTAAGCAGAGCTCACAGTGCTTTCTGTAGTTTCAGCTTGGTTTAACAAGTTGAGATGTTTGTGGTAAGATGTAACTTAACTGTTAACTTTGTGAGGTCTGAATTGCTTACTTAGTAAGCCAGATTCCTTAGTCGACCAAATCTTATGTCTCTGAAGTGTTGAGATTCCCTCATGTTTAAAGGAATATTTGTTAAGATAGCTTGAGTTTTCTTATAGGATGTTTTTTAAAACTTTTCCCAGCAGTTCCAATCCACACGTCCTAGGCTGTCCGGAACCAGCGGGTCAGTCAACGAAGGTCACCTGGGGGAGGAGCAGGGAATTGAAGAGGGGACAAAGGACAGGAGATGTGAAGAATGGAGACAAGACAGGATTCTGATCAAGTCTTGTTTATTCAGGGGAGGTGCTGGGTGTATATAAGGGGTGTAGGAATGAGGAAGTCTCGGCTCTTGGGGTCAGCAGGTATCTCGGCAATGGGGGAAGGTGCAACACCTGGGGCATAGCACGTGATTCACTGGGAATGGGCAAGGTGAGAAGGACCATAAACTGAACTCAGCAGGGGAATAGAAACTTAAGAAAATGGCTGACCCTATTATAAAATGGATGCCAGTTAATGGCCTCCCACACTAGGCTTCTAGAAGTATACTGAAAACTTGGTGGCAGGAGCTGCATGGGCTTCTTTCCCAAAGAAAAGTACTGTTTCAAGGGAGAGACAATTTCTAGGGATGCCACAGAACTATTTTAAAAAAATATTCGGAGCAAGGCCTGTGATTGGAAGTGAGTACGCAGGTCACATTTGGCTAAGAGGTAATAAATACAGCTGAGTCTAAAAATTTAAAGAAAGAAAATAATCTGAACTTACCTTTGAAACTTTTCACGCAGGAGACAGGAGAGATGGTTACCATTTAAGACAACATGCTACATAACAGTAATGGAATCCCTGCTCTCTGTTGGCTCAAGGGAACCTTTCTTGTTGTGAAACTTTAAGAAGGATCCTATCCAACAACACTGGCTTGTGTCTCCTTTTGAGGGTTTTGTGAGAGGATGGCATAGCATTATTAAACAGAGTTGGTGACTGCACTTCTACAGATCTGAGAGGTGCTTTTCTAAAACACTTGCACCATTTGCCATATTTCTGGAAAAAAGTGACAATAAGGAGAAGCGGAAGAAAAGGGAAAGCGTGTGTGTGTGTGTGTGTGTGTGTGTGTGTGTGTGTGTGTATGAGAGAGAGAGACAGACAGACAGACAGACAGACAGACACACACACACACACACACACACAGAGACAGAGATCACAATCTATATCTGAGATTGAGAATTTGCATCTGAGACCTGCCTTGCTCCTGCCTGGAAAGTGAATTCTGTTGCTCAATTTGATACTCTTGAAGATAAAATTATTTTCCACCATGTGGAGCTGAGGACAATGACACCACATTTGTGACTGCAAATTATAAATGGACCAGATAAATAGTCTAAATTTTTAAGGT